TTGTGGTGTCTCGGGTGGTGAGAGCGGTGCTCGTTATGGCCCTTCCCTTATGCCTGGTGGTAGTACTTCTGCTTGGTACGTTGAGTTGTTGAGTAATTATATACAGATGTTTTTTTTTTTTTTTGATAATTTACAAATTTTCATAAATAGGGAGCATGTTCGCCCTATTTTTCAGTCCATTGCTGCTAAAGCTGACAACGAACCATGCTGTGATTGGGTCGGTGAGACTGGTGCAGGACATTATGTTAAAATGGTTCACAATGGCATCGAATATGGTGATATGCAACTTATTTGTGAGGCATACCACTTAATGAAAGAAGGTCTTGGGCTTACGCATGATGAAATTGGTGATGTCTTTGAAGAATGGAATAAGGGTGAACTTGATTCCTACTTAATCGAAATTACCAGAAATATTGTTAGATATAAAGATACAGACGGTATACCTTTAGTTGAAAAAGTTAAGGATTCCGCAGGGCAGGTAATGCTACGAATTGTTTTTTTTTATGGTTTACTTGGGTATCTTTTTATTATTTATCTCACTTTTTTTTTTCATAAAATTCTAGAAAGGTACTGGAAAATGGACCGCCATATCTGCTCTTGATCTAGGTGTTCCTGTTACACTTATAGGAGAAGCTGTTTTCTCTCGTACACTTTCTTCCCTGAAAGATGAACGTATTCGTGCAAGTAAATTATTAAAGGGCCCTGAAAACGCAAAGTTTTGTGGAGATAAAAAAACTTTTATCAAGCAGTTGGGACAAGCATTGTATGCCTCTAAATTGATTTCTTATGCTCAAGGATTCATGTTGTTACGTGAAGCTGCCAAAGATAACAAGTGGAATTTGAATTATGCTGGAATCGCGTTAATGTGGCGTGGTGGTTGTATTATTCGAAGGTTGGTCAATTTACATTATTTAATTTTTTAATATTCATAATTCACTCTTTTCATTAGTAAATTTTCTACTTTTTTAAAATTTTAATTTGCTATGTAACTATTATTAAATAATTTCTCTATTATTTTATTTAATTGGCTAGTGCCTTCCTTGGTAATATCAAGAATGCTTACGTTAATAATCCAAATCTTGAGAATCTTCTTTTTGATCCATTTTTCAAAAGTGCTGTTGAGGATGCCCAAGACTCTTGGCGTCATGTTGTTTCACAAGCAATTTTGCTCGGCATTCCTACTCCTGCGTTTTCCACCGCATTAGCTTTCTATGATGGTTATAGACATGACAAATTACCTGCAAATCTACTTCAAAGTCAAAGAGATTACTTTGGGTATTTATTTGATGTTTAAATATTATGTCCTCTTGTTTTTACTATTATATACTAATTAGCATTCTAAACTGCTACTAATCTCCTATTCACTTTTCTAATATTAAACTTTCTGATCAACTAATCACAGATCTCA